GAATTCATCAATAACTGCCAACAAACAAGGCATTCCCTGATTGGCTATATGATTAGGGCTCAGAATCCCATTTTATAAGTTATTTCTGAATGAAGCTAAAATCCCAGGTATGGTGTACAACAGACCGTGAACATTGGAGCCAAGTAATCTAGCTGTTGTAAACAACTCCCTCATGGTTTCACATTAATCCACGGTTTATAGCCACTATGCCCACCGACCAAAATTTGATATATATGAATATGATTTAGGCCACAAAAATGACAATAAATTGCACATACATGGAGATTTTTATCCACAAAAAATGAAATTTACAAACAGAAAAAACACTTCCATAAACAAGAGTTATTGTTCAACACATGTTTTCATTCATACCAAGAATTGCTTTTAACATGGGCACCAGAAGGCAAAAAGAACGTGGAAAGACTGAAAGAGAATTGGTGATTTTCCGTACAACTGCGAGATCTCGCGAGATGCATGAAAGACGCGCGTCGAACGTCTGCCGCAAAAATCGAATGATTTGATTTTGAACTCAAATTTCTTTATTTCGTAGCGCACATCGACCGGCCGATCTTCTACAGAGGAATATTGCATTCGAATATCCTCACTTAATTGAAATTGCCCATCATCAAATGTGTACAGCACATTATTGACATTGAAATGTTCCCCAAAATACTTTTGCATTTGTCGAATCTCACGCGATGTTTGATGCCACTACGACGCTATGACCTTTGTTTGTCCTGTTTTTACATTCGATTTCACGCATAACGCGTGATTCTCGCAGTGAACGAAAAATGGTCTATTGTGGAAGATCTGTGGAAAAGGAAAAAAATCAATAGGGAAACAAGACTTGGGCAGAGGCAGAAGTAGCAGTTCAAGACAGAAGCATGGAGGAGGAGAGATGCTGGCTCTATTCACCACCAGGAGACAGTCAAGTCAGGACATGTTTTCATTGGAAGTTCGGTTGTACACTACCTGGTAATAATAAGGTTATTTTGGGAAAAGTTGAAAGCATGTTTGTGAGGACTTTATTGTATATTTAGTTGCAGGGCAATGTTTGACATTACTGTACTTACCAGATATTTCATATCATATGAAAAGACACAACATTGCACCATATTCTTATGACCATTTAATATGAATACTGCGTTACCTTTCTGTAATGATACAATGTAACTGAAATGAATTGGTCTATCCAAACACATGTTTACATCATATTGCACACTCACATCCAATTTGCACACTCGCATCCAATTTGCACACTCACATCCAATTTGCACACTCGCATCCAATTTGCACACTCGCATCCAATTTGCACACTCCCATCCAATTTGCACACTCACATCCAATTTGCATACTCGCATCCAATTTGCACACTCGCATCCAATTTGCACACTCGCATCCAATTTGCACACTCGCATCCAATTTGCACACTCGCATCCAATTTGCACACTCGCATCCAATTTGCACACTCGCATCCAATTTGCACACTCGCATCCAATTTGCACACTCGCATCCAATTTGCACACTCGCATCCAATTTGCACACTCGCATCCAATTTGCACACTCGCATCCAATTTGCACACTCGCATCCAATTTGCACACTCGCATCCAATTTGCACACTCGCATCCAATTTGCACACTCGCATCCAATTTGCACACTCGCATCCAATTTGCACACTCGCATCCAATTTGCACACTCGCATCCAATTTGCACACTCGCATCCAATTTGCACACTCGCATCCAATTTGCACACTCGCATCCAATTTGCACACTCGCATCCAGTTTGCAAACTTGCATCAAGTTGCCACACTTCCCTCAACTTGGCACACTCGTATTCAGTCGGCAGTCACATCAAATTGGCACAATCACATCAAGCTGACACATTCACATGAAGATGGCACACCCTCATTAAGTTCACACACTCACATCCACTCAGCACAGTTTGCATCAAATTGGCACACTCACATCAAGTTGCACACTTGTTTAAAGTTCACCAAACTCACAGACCTGCATTATATGCTTTCACTATATAAAACAACAGACTGTTACAGTTAATACTTACATCAACACTCCAAACTATTGCTGTATTATCCCAGGATCCTGAACATAGATATCTACCATCAGGTGAAAAACTGATAGTCTCAACACTGCGAGAATGTCCTATGCAAAAGATAAATGGTAACAAATTTCCAACACGCAACTTGTGTTTATCATAGGGTTGCTAGGA